AAATGCGTACTGTTCTTTATTTAAGATATATCTTAGGTGAAGCATGTGTGTCTGTTTCTTGGATGGCCTATTGGGAAGAAGTGAGACTTAGCAAATGCAGATTTCGGTCTAGTTCAGTGGTTTGTAAACTGTGCTGCATAAGTCACTGGTGGTCCACAGGGCCACAGTAAACAGTATACAGCCAGCCCACAGATTGCATGCACGTTTCTTCCTCTTGCCCTTATGCACACAAACCTTACAGTGAGACATTTGATAATAAAGTTGCATGGTAGTCCATGAGAAATGTTGGGAGATAATAGTGGTCTGTTAGTGCAAATAAGTTTGGGAACCACTGCTGTTCTTCACATAGTGGAGGCCTATAAATCTAGAACCAAAGTGGGAGAGATTTATTTTGTGCGTCACATGTGAGTAGATTGCTTGATAAACGCAGTATTGGTGTCCCATGAAAATGTAAAGCTTCAAGGGATTGCAAGATGTTTACCTAGTCTAGTGCCCTGCTCTGAGCCAAGATTCAATATCCTAGACCACCTCTGACAGCTGATTGTGTAATCTGTTCTTAAAAACCTACAGAGATGCCACAATTTTTTTAGTTAGCTTGTTCTAGTGTTTCACTACCCTGGCAGGTAGAAGTTTTTTTTATTAGTATCTAATCTAAATCTTTGCTATAAATTAAACTGATTATTTCTTGTCCTACTGACAGTTGACATAGGAAGCAATTAATCATTATCCTCTTTATGTATAGGGAGACTGTTATCATGTCTGACCTGAGACTGCTTTTTGCTAGACAAAACAGGCTGAGTTCCTTCAGTCTCTCTCATAGGTCATGTTTTCTAACTTTCTTATCATTCATGTTGTTCTCCTCTGGACTCTATCCAATTTGCCTAACTCTCTCCTAAAATGTGATGCCAAAACTACAATCCAGCTGAAACCTTACCAGCACTGAGAAGAATGAAATAATTACTCCTTATGTCTTACAAATGACACTACTGTTATTGTGGACCAGAATGAGATTACTCACTTTTTCAACAACATCACATTGTTGATTCACGCTCAGTTTGTGATCCACTATAACTCTCAGATTGTTAGGTTTTTTTTGTGACGGTGAATTGAGTCAGTCTCCATTTTGTATTTGTGCATTTGATTTCCCTTTCCTAAGTGTAGTGCTTTGCACTTGTCTGTGTTCAATCTAATTTTGTTATTTTCAAAATATTTCTCCTATTTATCAAGATCACTATGAATTTTGATCCTGTCCTCCACTGCTAATACCTTCTCCTTCCTGTGTCATCTGTAGGATTTACTATATAGTTCCAAATCTAGGTATTAAGTCAACCCCACGTTTTCAGGCAGCTTTTTTCCCCAAAATAAATTGATAAACACAGGTCAAGTGTTTGAATGCCTATATCCCTTATAAAATCCTAAAAAGAAGAATCAAATAACCTAGGAAAAAGTCCAATGCATTAAGTGTACTAAAAAAAAATCTGATTCCTTATTTTTATTCCATGCCCAACATACTGCAAGCACATATCAAGATTGTTGAACGCCCAATTATAGGTTGAGCCTGCACCTTTTATAGTTCTTGAGAGCTATTTTTTAGCTGTGCACCTTATGGTTATTTCATCTGGACCATATTTCCATAGTTTTCTTATGAGACTATCATGTAAAACAGCATCAAAAAACATACTGAAGTCAAACCATGTCACATCTGCCACTTCCTTCTTTAGGCCAATTATACTAACAAAGAAGGAAATAAGATTGGGTCAACAGTCTGTGTTCTTGAGTAATCCACACTGGCTGTTTCTTACCACCTTGTTATCTTCCTGGTGCTTATAAATAGATTAATAATTTGTTCTAGTATCATTCGAGGTATGAAATTTAGACTGCTTGTAATTCCCCAGGCCCTCTTTCCCCTCTTTTCTTTCTGTTTCTCTTTATCCAGTCATTTGGGATATCCCCTGTCCAGATGAATTATCAAAGGTAATCATTTATAATTCAGAGATTATTTGAGCTAGTTACTCAAGTACTGTACGTTGAATTTCATCAAGGTCTGCCAACTTGAACATATTCAATTTATATGAATATTCCTTAACCCATTTGTCTCTTAAACTGTGCTCTCTTAATCTGCCCTGCATTGATGGATTTATATACCCACATTGTATTACAATGAACTACAGCCTATCATATAGCTATATTCCAGAGACAGAGATAAATAGGATGAAAATTTAATTGCAACAGGTCAAACTCATGCACCATTATGTCCCTTTCCACAGAGATGCCATCACTTCTTTTTGCCTAAATTATTTAAATAAGTACAGTTTTTGCTAAAACAGGATTAACCGTGCCATACACTTCTTTACCTCAGATATCTAATCAGTTCTTCTACAGTGTGTGTGTCCTGAGTGGGATTTCCAGTCTCAAACTAAGTGAAACTAGGAGATATTTTTACCTGGTTGTACTAATCAGGTTGCCAACCCAAGAATATTTTTTTTACCGGCAATATGCAGATTTTTTACTGACAACCAAACTTTTTTACTGATATACGTTTTTACTGATGTTTTACATCAGGGGTGTCAAACTCATCTGGTCCCATGAACTGAATCAATGGTGCTGGGCTAGTCCATGAGCTGGATGAACAGCATCTGGACATCCCCGTGGACAAGACTGGGCCTCTACATGCCCTCCCCACCAAATGCTGCATCCAGTGCACATGGTCCTCACTCCAGGCTGGGGGAGGTGCAACATGCAGCATGGGTCCTGGGTTGGCCAGGACAGGCATCTTATGCAGCCAGAATTGATTGCATGCCATGTGCAATGTGTGGGTCTACTCTGGACCCAGGAGCAGCACCAGGCGCCCAATGATGGGGCTATGCAGGCTAAATCTGGCCTGGGTATCTGATACCCATTTTATATATGTAAATTGAACTCTTCTGCCAAGCACTGGATGGCAGTAACAAGAGATCAGTTCAAATGTAGGGGTTGTGTAATGTCTTTTAATACAGTCTTATTTGACTCCAGCAATGTTTTTATGCCATGCTGCCCCACCCCAGTGTTCCCTACTCACCCCCACACTATAATACCACTGACTGCACCCTGCATGGTACTACCTCCAACCCAGCCCACGCCCCAGCCTTACCTCTGCTGGTCACGCTCCCCTCATTCTGGCACCATCCCCCACCCTCCACCTCTCCCCCTTCTCAGACCCACAGCTCTGTCCTAGCCATACTGTGTCCCTTCCTGTATCTTTGAAGTGAACAGCTGTTAAAAGCAGGGGACAGCCAAACAGAAGCAGAGACAGCACATGACTGGAGGTGTGGAGGGGCTACGGAAGGTCCCATGAGTCTCAAAGCCCTGACAAGAGTTTTCTGCTGTCAGGAACTCTGATCCAGCAGGCCTGGCTGGGCCAAGCACATCAGTTACCACACCTGACCCTGATTCCTGGCTAATTGGACTGACTCAGTTCTCTGCAACCAGATTGGCTGCTGAAAGCACCACTTATCCCTTTTAAATGCACCTGCAGCCTCAAGCTGTAGATATGCCTTGACACAGCTTCAGACAAAACTCATATTCACAGCCCTCCTTGATTTTCCTGACTTCTGACCCATCCTTGGCTTTTCCTGACCCTGATTTCTCCTGAAACTTGGCACTGCCTTTGATCTCTCTGGTTTCCCTAGCATCCTTACTTGGCTTGGCTTCCTTGACTCTGATCTTGGATTTTTTTCCCTGGAACTTGGCAATGGTTCTCTGAACCTTGGATCTTGACCTTGGCTCATGTCTCAGACTATGCCTCTTGGATCTCCCCTCTTGGGGAGAGATCCCCAAGTAACCAGTGCCCCTGCCTTGCTGACCTCATTGCCCTTCCAGGACCTATCTGCAGGCCTGGCCACCTACATCCTGCTGTATGGTGACGTGTAGATGCAGCCATCATGTCTGCAATTTAGCCAAACTAACAGGCACAATCAAAAGAGTAAATAAGCCTGGGTGGGCTGGCTGCTAATGCCCAAAATATGAGCTCTGTGGAGGAACTGCACAGAAACTGCTGGCTTCAGAATCAGCCTTGAATTCTTTGGCAAGTAAACCACATGAGCCTGAATAGGCTGTAATGCAAACCACAGACATATCTGACTTTTTACCAAATAGAGACTGCATGCTTACTAATTTGTTGCTGGGTGTCACACTTACCCATTTTGTTTTGGAAATAAATGTCCTGTCTTTAAAAGCGTTCCCTGTTTTGAAAGCACAGCCTATTTTTTTAACAGAAAGATGTTTCCATTTTGCTCAAGAGGTTGCTCCAGAGGAATCTTACTGTTTGTGACTCCTTTACTAAAGCTAAGCCACTGAGCATTAGGTGCAATACCTCAGGAAGGTGAATCACAATTTCCAATACAATACCTTGATTCAAAATAATTGATAATATGGCCTTCTTTGCACTTGTCCCAAATCTCAGAGTGCCTTACACATCATTAATCATGAAGCTTCTCTACATTCCTATGGGTTTGATCACTAGTAATATTTCCATTTTAGGCCTGGGTAAGGGAAGGCACAAAAGCACAAAGGAACTTGTGTCACAGTCATATAGCAAGTCAGAGGCAGAGTTGGAAATTTAACTCTTTGCATCCGTTCCAGATCTAGATAACATTCACTATCCCTTATCTAAGCTGCAACATCTCAAAATATACCTACCAAAAAAGTTAATCTAAAATGCCATGTCCTCTATTATATCAAAAATTCATATTTCTACCGTGATCCCTGGATTGTTTTATGATAAAATGGTTCCCCAATAAATGAGCAATACAGTTTTTATTAATTTTCGGGACCTGTAAACAATTGGCATTTGTTTCCCTTTTTACATCAAAAGAGAAGAAAAATGCTGAAAAATAAGTCTGCAGTGCTTTCCTTTCAACAGAGGGCAATGTAAATAGTGGGCAAAAGTAAATAGAAATTAGAAAGTTCTATAATGTGTGGTCTTGCGTTCTCATACAACTTTTTAAAATCTTTCTGTTCAGAGTTTTTGGACACATCAGTTATCGTTCTGATTGGGAACTGGTGAAAGTAGACTTCAGACCTTCTTTCCCAAGGCAGTGCACTGAAGATGACTATGAATCTTGGGACCTCACAAATCTTCAGGTATTGAGCAAACAGTGGTCTTAAATTAACAACGTTCATATCCATTCTGCTACACAAACCATTGCCATTAAGCATAGATTCTAGCTCCCTACTTTGATTATCCTTGATATTTGAAAGGAAGAGCAAAGCTTATTTTTTTACAACTATCAGTGACTTCAAAATAGCTTAGTGTAAAGGGAGAATAGATTTTGTGTTCCCTTTATTGTCTTAATGGTGGTCTGTGGATGGAGGGAAGTGTACTTGGTGATTTGCCATAATAATTAGGTGGTCCTTCTGGATTCTGAGACACACACTGTAAGCCAAAATCTATAGTACTTATTGAAGCAATTTGAATATGTAGTCATATGTTTTGCCAGCTTCGTGGCCACATATGGTACTTGTATGTAAATCAGCATAAGTAAAAACCCATTCCAAAAGAAATTTAGAATCTCAGTGGGACAATCATATAATAGAGTCCAGTTGTTTTGAGCAATACCAAACAACTTGAGCAATACCAAATCTGTAGCAATGCATTAGCTGTGCTAATGTCTCCTGTGCTGGCCAAATTAAATTTTACCTACATTCTGGTTCTCATTCTCTTTATCTTGTATTGTCTGTAGAGTAGTGTGCTAGTATTTTGGACTACATGAGATATATTGCTGTAAGTCATGATCACTGTCAGTTTTTTTTCTCTTTTCCTCGTCCATGTGTTCTCCAGGTTTCGTCTTGCCTGCCAATTCGTATTATTCCAAACAAACTTTCCTTTAACTCTCACTCTTGGCTATTATGCCATTGCTGTCACGCTCCTATTCCTATACTCCTAATATAGGCATGACATGCACTTGAAAGTATTATGTAGGTTTAGGCCATAACAAGAAAAGTGTGTTGAGGCACTGAAATCATACTTCTCAGAAACTGGAAACAAGTACGTTTTTAAAAAAAAAAATAGATCCTATGTTAGCAACCACTCAATTATCAGTGCAGGCATGTTTAAATGACCCCATTTGCAGGCACAAATGCTTGAGTTGCGTGTATGATTGCAGGAACTGGATCTACATTTTTGTGCATATTTTGGTCTTCTGCACTTTAGAAAATGTGTCTCCTAGCACTGGATCCATAAAGAGGGTTAGGCTCAAGCCTTGTAATTCCAAGAGCCAAAGCACATTTGCTTGTTTGTATAAAACAGAAAAAGGAAAAGAGAAGGACAAAGGCAGAGAATGAGAAAGAATAAATGTGTACTGTATTGGCTAAAATACTTATCTGGGAGATGGGAAGCTGGTAGTCAAACCATTCTAAATCAGGCAGAGAAAGGATTTGAATTTTAGTCTCCTATATCCTGGATGTGTATTCTACCCTCTAGGTTAGTGATTATTTCAAAACACAAAAAATCATGACTTTTGAAAATCTTGTCTAGAGTGACATGCTGAAGGTTACCTAGGTTGCCTGTAACACGCTTGAGAATTAAACCTGTATTTCCAGAGTCCCAGTCGAGTGCCTCAGCTACAAGACTAGTCTTCCTCTACACATCCTAAAATGATGATTAGATGGAGTTCATGACAGGATGGTTTGGTTATTACAGTTCAGTGCTTTAATGTTCAGGGGGACCATTGCATCATGGGTCAACAAAGAAGCTTTCGGAAGAGGAAAATTTCATCATGGTGCATTAAAGGAAGAAGTTTCACGTCAGCTCTCACATCCAAAGTTTGCGAGTGTGTGAACTCTGACTTCTTATGGTGAGCCTTTCTATGGACTGTACAGTATCTGAAAAATGATGGAATGTGTGACAATCTGGGATATATAAAACCCACACTTCCCCAAACAAAAACTAAGAATAAAACAATTCAGTGGGATTTGAATGACAGATTGTTTTTCCCATGTGTTACATTTGTTTCTGGGTAAAGAGAAAAAATAGTTCAGTAATTCTATTTCTGTTTTATGTCAGTTGATATTGCAAGAAATTATGTAGAATTTCACAATCTGGCAGAGAAATGCCAAGCTATGTTTGTTGCTACGGAAGCTGCATGCTGTGAATTTTCTTTTGAAAAAAATGAAATAAGAAAACCATTGACATTTTTGAAGGAACAATCATTTTCACCTGACTGGACAAATCCTGATGTTTTATTCAGATAAACTCCCACATAGTAAAATTTGAATAATGACCATTGGGATTGACCTTTAGTACAAATCCTCTGCAGTCACAAGTGAAGCAGAAGAGAAAGAGGATACATGTATTGATTTGAGTTGTAAAGGGAGCTCTTTAAAAGAAACTGAACTGCAAATAGAGAGGATTCTGTGTACAACCCATTCTGCCCTCATATGTACTACACAACTCTGGTCTGAGAGCAGAACTGGACTGATCAACCTGGATGCTAACCTCCTACCAGATAACATTAAAATTACTCTCCTTTACTCCTATTCTAACCCAGAAAACAGATTTATGAAAAATCAGGACAGCTAACATACTCTGTGTGGGTTTTTGCAGTGATTATGGATTTGAACGTTCAGCACCTGTGAAGTCAGAATCCAGCAAGTGCTTTGCTGACTTTTGGTTTAATCCAGAATCCCCTCCTGAAGACTGCGTATTAGGACAGGCATACACAAGCAGCACTGGGTAAGTCTGTTATTTTCTTAACTTGCAGAGATGGAAAGCACTTTGTCTAAGCGTCAAAGGGTAGGTTTAAGAAAATGTAAGTGGAACTCTGTATAGTGATTTATGTTGGGGTAGCAACTGATAAAACAGATACCGTTTGAAAGCTGGGTGGGGTTGAGGAGGGACATATTGCATCTGAATTCAGGGTGATTGTTTCATCTGCCTGCTCCTAACCTGCAACAAATGAAGCTAAACAACAGCAATTTCCCCCTCTTTCATTCAGGGATAAAATACTGCAGGTTAGCTTCACATACTGTAGGTTAGGAGTGGACAAATGCAAGATTACATTGGATCAGCTGATATGGTCTCCCAAGCAGTAAGTCCACGCTTCCCTTTATACTAGCATAATTGTACATCTGACCATTGGCTGTCCCAATTTTCTAAAGGTACATTTAGTGTGCGAGAGGTTTGTAGAAAGGGCAGTGTTATCATCTTGATTTATTTTAAAAAGTTATATAAATCTCTCTCAAAATACTAGGTCCTTTTAAATACTTAAAAATACTAGTCTCTTTTAAATGTTTCTGCTCATGGCTGTAGTTATAAGGGGTTTCAAACTTGTTCACTATTGCCAACACCAAGAACCCATAAACCATGAGTGAAAGCCAAAAAATTGTGAAATTTGGTTTGCAAATCAGGTTTTTACACATTAAAAAATGGGGTCTTTTTATTTCCCTCCTAGTTTCTAAGTCTCTGTAGATATATTTTCATGCTATGAGCCCTCCGGCATGATGGTTAGAAAGTTTGGGGGCGGGAGGAAGAATTTTAAGAAAAGAAAGCTGAGATTCTTGGGAATTCACATTTCCAGGAGCTGGGGTTTTAAATCTGAGAGATTGGTGCAGCTGGCAAAAGCACATTCTTGCTATCTCCCTCCTGTATACACCCTGACTATTGCCCATTCTGCTTGAATGTTGCTGTTAGCCTTACTGGGAAACACCCCCTGCAGACCCAGACAGAGGCAATTAGCCCTGTACAGAGCCAGGCTCAAATGAAAAAGAAAACAATCTACAAACAGAGAGCCATTTTTTTTCTTTAAATTCTCTTCTAATAATCTTAGGGATTATTTATAACAACAGCAGCTGCACATATGATAGTGAGCCTTTAGAAAGTCTTTGATGTTAACCCTTTAATTTTTTTAGATTCAAATCATATAAATACTTAGAAGCAAGTATTACCTCACTAAGCTTTCCAGACCCCTTCTCCTACCTCTCACTTCCTCGAGGATAAAGCATTGTGCAGAGGATGGATTCTTTGCCTAATCATAAGGGCCACTGAGATTCAAAGGAAAGTTTTAGAGAGCTGTAAACAATAGTGTATAGCACATTCACTACAAGGTAGTCTGACATGTACACTGAGAATAACTTGCAGCTGGCATCTATTCCCATTTATAACAACATCATCGTTCGCAGTTGTGTAGATTGGGACTAAACCTTGAAATGTCAGTCAGGCCAGAGACTTGCAGTTTGTGTGTATTTTCTTTATTAGTGAAAACCCTGCATTGTCACAAGAGGCTGGCAGCTGTAACAGAGAGTTTGAATTCCCAAGAATGAAACGTATAAATCTTAAAGAATGGTTAAAAATAAGAAACCTGAATGAAACTGATCCTGAATGAAACTAAATAATTGAGGTATAATCCAGAATGTTTCTCAGGCAACCCTTGTCAAGGCATTTTTAGTTTGTTATGCAGAATATATTTAACAATGATTAAGAGCTTCATGAGCCTGGAAATTTCATGAGCTTAAGCATTGGAATTTGCTCCGCCATGAGACTTGGTATAGTTTTTGTCTGATCTGGTAGTCAACCACACTTCAAATTAGGCTCCAATATATTGTCCATTGTTATATATTCCATGCTGCCTCCAGTACCCCCACTAATCACTACTTACCATTCTTGCAGGTACAGGAAAGTGGTGTCTAATGTGTGTGAAGGTGGTGTTGATTTGCAACAGAATCTAGCCCAGCATATGTGTCCACTGATTGCTCCCAAAGGGTTACAGATTAGCATCAAAGGAGAAAGCCTGGCTGTTAAGCCTGGAGAAGACATCACCTTCATTGTCAGACAAGAGCAGGTAATGAAGAACTTTAGCTTTTTGAAAATTTCTATGCTGTTTTTGGATTTACCATTTCCAGGTACTAATTTATCTCCTATCTGCTTGAGGGCTGAAAAGAGATTAACTTGTGCTTCTGAAGGAGGTGCTAATTGTTCCTTAATGAAGTACTCAATGGACTGGGTAACTAACAACTCTGTCAAAGAAACCTAGTTTGTCTTCTCAATGGAGTGTGTAAACATTGTAAACACATTAACTTCTTTGAAAATTGTAGTTTAAAGGATGTAAACACCAGGTCTGCTTGTGCTGCTTTGAAAATTCCTGAAATAACTGTAGTATCAGAGAAGAGCAAAGTAAGATGTAAAGAGGCTATATTCATATGAAGACAAAAGTACAGGAAGTACATTTTTCAGCTAACATCCAATCAGTAGAAGAGGATAATTTGCAATAATTTTATGCCTTTCAATTAGAGTTACCATACATCTGGGTTTTCCCAGACATGTCCTCTTTTTTGATCATCTGATCTCCGTCCAGGCAGGTTTTTTAAATCTAATTGAATGTCCGGGATTTTGCTCAGCTCAGCTGTGCGAGGAGAGCAGGTGCCTGCCAGCACTGGGAGAATCTATCCAGGCACCTGGGCTGCAGTGGGAAATGCCTGGCCACCTGGGCGCAGAGATGTCCCCAGGGTCCCCTAGCACCTATCAAGTTCAGTTTAGTTTCTCTGCCTCAGCACAGAAGGCACTCCCACGATCCTAGCACCTGCCTTTTTCTATCTATTCCTCTTGCAGCAGCATCTGATCAATATGGAGTGTGGGACTGCAACTTGTGTAGGGGGCTGGCTTGTAGGCAGCAGCTCACTGTGTGAACAAGGTTGCAGGGGTGGGGCAGCCAGGAGACAGAGGGAGCAGGGGGCCGTGGCTTGGAAGTGAGGGGCTGAGGGCTGTGGGTCCAGAGTGTGGGGCAGGGGGCTGCAGGTTGGCGGTAGGGGGCATCAGCATGGCCCAGGGCAGCAGGGTATTGCAGGTTGGGAGACAGGAGCACTGGCAGGGCTAGGGGTCCCCAGGTTGGGAGTGAGGGGCCGCACCATGAGTGGGGGTCTGTGGCTTGGGAGTGAGGGGCAACAGAATGGGCAGGGCCAGGGCACCATCATATCACTGCCCCTCACAAATATCTAATCCTCCCTCTCTTTTGGAACTGGAAATATAGTAACCTTATTTCAATAAATTCAGACAGCCAGGACCCCAAATTCACTCACCGGGGGATTAACTAGAGTGGACCTGGATTTACAAAAGTGTCCCACCTTGCATAAAAGTAACACCAGCAGGAGTTGGGTGTTGGGCACCCTGGGATTTATTTACATGCCTGAATTGGAGCTGTGCTCCTTTGAGCATCTTGGGCACAGACAGAAGTGATAATTTTCACCCTATCTGGCCACAGAAAGCAGTCTATAGTCATGACCAAACACAAGTGCATGGCTGCACACTGCTTAAAAGATGGCTGATCAGGCAAAAATCTGGACCCTCATTGCATGAAGGTTCAGATGGAGATATTTCAAAACAGAGAGCTTCTCTTTAATTTCCTCTTTAACTTGTGCCTGCGCTGCATCCCAGCCTGTTGCTCTTGTCAGAATGGGAAGCGGGGGAAGGAAGCAGAGGTAGTTCATTTTGGGTTTTTTTCAGCCCCTACTGGAGGGTGGGGTGGGTGTATTGAAGCCCCCGCCCCACTGCCCCAGAATGAGCTCCCTCTGCTCTCTTTCCCCCCTTCCCATTCTGAAAACAGGGACAGGCTGGGAGGGAAGAGGGGCCATTGCTAGTGGAAACTGCCTGCAGGGTGGCAGCCAGCAGCTATATTCCCCTCCCTCCTGGATCCAATAGTGAACTTCTGTTTGGTCCAGGGGATTGCTGTAACTCAGAACGCTTCCTGTAAAGTATTCTGAGTTACAGCTGGGAGCTGCACTTCTGTTTGTGCCCCTTATGCCAGCTGAGGTACCGAACACTTAAAGAGCTGGCCTTGAACATTTTTGAAAATCCATTCTCTCCTTTCCAAAGGTCAAACACCAGTTTTTGTTAATCACTGAAGCAGTAAGAAGATCTGACATCTACTATTAATCCTTACAATGTTTGTTTATTGAAAGAACTAACATCTTAACGGTAAGACCAGAAGCAGACTATAACAGTCTTATGTGCAGGATGCAATATTTCTGTGTCTTAGTACTTACGCATTAAGTACTAGCTTCTGCCATTCTTCTTTACTTGAGCTTGTACTGACCACTCCTACACAAAATCTAAGCTTCCTTCAGAGAGAGAGTCTGAAGGAAATTCACGTATTTCACTAGGCCCATTTGATACAACCCTGGGATTCCTGATTTACTTCAGGAGCAGTCAATGGAAATATATGCAAAGTAAGGTATTACTTAACATATAGCAGTATCTGGCCCTAAGCAACTTTTATACATTAGCTGTTGTGAGGCCAGATATATTTTATTTCAGTCCTTAATTCTGTATGCTGTCACCATCTCATTATTAGTAAAAATACAGAACTTAACTATAATCTTAGAATTCAGTTGTTTATCATTTCTTATTATTATTATGGGGCTCCTAAAGTTATGATTTTTGTTGGAGGATGAATTTTATATCTTTCTGTCATTTAGTGGAACATCTAAAGATATGAAAATGTTCTCAAAAGTCCTGGCATTTGACTGGTGTTCCATATATTTTCAGTGTTCTCTGTGTCTGGTACTCTGACGTGTAATGGAGTTTTACAAAAAATGTGACAATTTGCTGCCCCCTATGGCTGAGAATCAATATTAATGCTCAAATGTCCATAACATTCCACAGAACTTAAAAAGAGAAGAGCAAATTTTACACAAGAGGCTAATTAGCTCTTCTGACAGGTAGGGAGTGTAAGCAACATTTCTACTATATCAGTCTCATACAATTTGGGATTTATTGCTGCATTTGAATACTAATTATTTGTTGCAAGGGTCTTCTGCTCACGCCTGTATTTGTCCAGGTGATGAATAACCATGTTTAGATACAATAATAAAAAGAAAATAAGCCATCCCACTATATCTTGGCTCAGTCCACTTAATGTATGAGTCAATAAAATCAAGGCAACCCATTATTTTCAGTAGTCAGATAGAAGTGTTCAAGGCCTATTAAATTTAAATGGCATTTTCCTATGTTCCTCTTTTGTTGTCAAGTCATTATTATCTCTTCCTTTTGATAGAACAATCGGAGTGGGGTATCAGTGCTTTGAGAGCATCACTGTCAGTGTAACATCAGGAAGGGGGGAGGTCAAAACAGAACATTCAGCAGAACTCTTCCAGCTCCAAGCATTGAACAGTATCTTTTTATCACTGGAGATGATATGCACGTGCTTTTCTAACATAAAAAGCAAATACTGTTTATTAGCTTTCTTAGAGGCCCCCAAAGGTTTTGCATGTACAAGCACATAACTGAAGCATCTCCTTTTTAAATTTTCATAAGGCATTGTTTCCTCTATTCAATGCTACCTATCTGCAGCAAAAGAAAATGGTTATTTGTAGGAAAATGTTCACAACAGAGGACAATACAAGGCAAGAAACTCCTTTTCTTGGTCAGACAATATGGAGACAAAGCATTTGATAATTCTAGATGTTCTTTATTCTGAGTATTCTCTTAATATGAACATACATTTTCTCTTCTATGTGAAAGGAATGAAATGTTTTACTGAACCAAACTGCAATATAATGTAATAATAGTAGTAGTAGTAGTAACGACAGTGATGACAACAACACCCATACCCTGTTCCAGACAGTGGTCTGTATGGTAAAGTAATGTAATTGGGATGAAAACCTTCTTTGGTGTGATGAATGATTTTAGTGACCAAATTAGTACAGTATATAGATGCACTACAGCCATTCTCCAGATCCACTCAGAACTTTTAAAACTGAATGTCATGGTCCAGAGCTAAAAGCTAATAGAAGTTTCCTCTGGCTTTAGACTCATGTCCAGATTGGACATCTGTCTCTTCTGAATGGTCACACTGTGCTTCATAGTGACAATAGAAGGCCTTTGATGGGTGTGTTTTAGTTTTAATGGAGTGGCACACTGAAGACAATCATAGTCATCCTAATGCACAAGGCTTAATATTAACAAGATAGTGGCACTTTTATGAGCTCTCAGAAGAGCTGGTGTTACAGTAAATTACACAAAATCTCTAACATGGCATAAAGATATGTCTGGATGTATATACTATTTCCCAACTGCAGTTCAGTTCTCCACATCACTAAGTCTCAGAGTTCATGCCTTATGCTCCTGACTTTTATCTTGGCTATGGCTCTGTTCACAGATTCATACATTCATAGATTGTAAGGGGCTGGAAGGGACCTTGCAAGATCACTGGGTTCAGCCCCCCTGCACCAAGCAGGAAAAACAACTGGGGTCAGGTGACCAGACCAAGGTGACTGTCCAGTCTCCTCTTGAAGATTTCCAGGGTAGGTGATTGCACCACCTCTGGAGGGCGCTTATCCCACAGTCTGAACACCCTAGTTGTGAAGTAGTTTTTCATCATGTTGAGCCTGAAATGGTCTTCCAGGTGTTTGTAGCCATTACTTCTAATTTTCCCCAAGCGTGCCCTGGTGAACAATTGTTCACCGAGCCCTTAATGTACGCCTCTGTTGTAGTGATAAACTGCTAACAACTCCCCTCTCAGCCTTCTCTTTTTCAGGCTGAGTCGTCCCAGATCCCTCAGCCTTTTCTCGTATGGCTTGCTGTGCAAGTCTCTGATCATATGGGTGGTCCTTCTCTGCACTCTCTCAAGCTGTAGCACGTCCTTGCTAAAGTGCGGCACCCAGAACTGGACACAGTACTCCAGCTGTGGTCTTGCCAATGCCAAATAGAGCAGGAGAATCACTTCTTTGGTTTTGCTGGGGGTGCATCAATTGATGCGTGCCAGGGTATTGTTGGCCCTGCTGGCTACAGCGTCACACTGCTGGCTCATGTTCATACTGTGGTCAGTTATTACCCCCAGGTCCCTTTCATTCATGGTGCTGGTCAGGTTGGCATTGCCAAGCCTGTAGGTGTGTTGGGGATTGTTCGTCCCCAGGTGGAGCACTTTACATACACAGTATGCTAGCAACCGTGCTCAAGGACTTATAGTTTCACTAGCATAGTGGGCAGTGTTTCAGAGAGATGTTGGCCGTGTGCAGATGGGGTGACATCACTGTGACACAATGCATTTACAACTTGCTGATTGCTTTGGAATATTTTATTTTCATTGTTTGGAACTATATTACAGATAGTTGAATATTAATACACACATGCGCATACACACACCCCTTTTTGTTCTGTAGTAACAATAACAGCAATGTCTCCAATTTGAATATTGTCTATCCAAACATTTCTGACTTGTTTCCTCTGATAGGGAGATGTTCTAAATACTAAGTACCAGGTGGATCTTGGAGATGGATTTAAGGCAATATATGTGAATCTCACTATGACTGGTGAACCTATCCGCCATCGTTATGAGAACCCCGGGATATACCGTGTCTCAGTCAAGGCTGAGAATGTGGCTGGGCATGATGAGGCTGTGGTGTTTGTTCAAGTGAACGGTAAGTTTCACTGTTTTTGTTTTTCTCTGGTTTATTTTTCCAGCTTCATAAAAAGATCTTGACAAATGTGGGGAAACTACTAACATAGCCTTAATAACTGGACACTATTTGCAAAGCCATCTTTTGTGGACAAGCTCACGCAACCACATATTTCCTGTGTGGTGTTAATGCATAAACTGTATTTATTCACATTCCATATGCCCCTGAATAAGACATGTACCTTGTTTTGGGAAGACAAAACGAAGAAAAAAAACCTCCCCAGCTATTGTGGGGTGCCTCTGAATTACATGGGGAACAGCGCTGTAAAAGCCTTAATTCAGTGGCTTTGAGAGGGTTAACCCAGTAGCTCTTGGCCACTCACATGCCTCCCTCTTCAGCAGAAGGTGGAGGGATTGAGGCTGATGAGAGTCCTGCCCCAGCATGGCACAGCCCCAACCTTCAGCTGGAAAACAAATGGTTAGGCATTTTCTCTTTTAACCCCCACCCCCAGATTTTTTCAGTTACTAATTTTCATGTTTTATGCAAGTAAATACAATACTTGTAAATTGTATTTTCAGGTCAAAGGAGGACTTGGTTTTCAGGAAATGTATAATCTAGTGGGATGTGAGCAGCATTAGCAGGCAAGAATGTCGGAAGTCTGAGCCCTATATGTTTTCAGACCTCATTCTTAATATAAGAGTGATAAAAATATACATTTAAACTGAATACATTGTATTCAGTTCTGTAGTAACACAGGGTGCTGAGAAAGGGATATTTTCTCCTATTTGATTTTCAGGAGGCTCAGAGCAGTGGGTACTTGGCACCTCTGAAAATCAGATTATTTACTTAAGGTGCTTGAGTATAGGTTTAGGTACATAAATTAAGCCACTAAAAATATTGGTTTTGGTGTATTATATATTATTTGAGAATATGCAGTATGCTTGACATAGCCCATTGCTTTTTTCTTTTAATTAAAACCCAAATAAACGAGATCAACAAATGTAAGAAGAAAGCACAGCACAGCACAGCATAGGGAATATCATGCGCCATCAGGGGTTTAATGTACCTCAGTCATTCCATAATTGAAATAAAGCAGGAAGTTCATGACTGGAACTGCATTTCTTCCTCCTTAAGGACTCAAGAAAACTATTGCTTCTGTTTTCTGATGTGTCAAACAGAAATTCAGAAATAAAGCACACACTAGAAAAAATATGATTACCCATCTTGCATTCTCCAAATGTCAGTCTCATACTCTTTGGAGTGCTTTGGGTGCTTTCCATCAGAAATCCCCGAACAAAGCAGGAAGCAGAAACTATTAGAGCCATACAATCCTATGTACAAATATAAATCTTTAGTGCAAGCCAAGAGAGCAGTGGCCATACTACTCTAAAAGTCCATACTACTTTTGCAAGCTTCAGAGTCCTTGAGACAGAGCATTGCTTAGTAATTCATGCAAATGACAAGGAATGAAAAGTTCTGGATGTTGATCCCACGGCAGCCCCACATTATAGATATGACCAGTTACAGCACAGTCTTTCCCCTATTTAGTTTAATGACAAAACTGCAATTAAAATCAAAGGTCCTTATCATCTGTTCCTCAGACTGATTATTTGTTTTCCTTACAGTGGAATATTTTAGACTTTGCTCAACAATTTTCACATTGGTAAAAAAGCTGTAAAAACTTTAATTCAGTGGCTTTGAGAGGCTTAACCCAGTAGCTTTTGGCCAGGCAGATGCCTCCCTCTACAGCAGAAGGTGTGGGGATTGAGGCTGATGAGAGTAGTCCTGCTTGGCAATCAAGGTGATGGATATGATAGCAGCCAGAAAGAAGAGTATAGAATCTGTAGAAGCAGCATATCCTTGGAGCTCTTATTGTAAATGGGTAACATTCCTCTTGCTTCAGTTATGCAGGAGATTGAGAAGCAGGAAAACTAAAGGATAGTTTCAGGACAGCTTTCTCAAAAGGGATCTCTGCTTTAGCCCTTTCATTATGATAAATAATCCAAGCAAAGGTTGTAAATTAAATTACAACTAGTAAAGTCTGATGCAGTGCTCAAGAATAAAATGTATACTGTTTCAAAGTAAATCTGGTATTTGAACACCAGATACAAGTAGTCCACTAGCATAACTTCTAAACAGATTTTTTAACCCTCTGGCATTGCCTCAGATGCCATAAACAATCTTGGAGGAGGCTTATGAAACTATTTTATCCTCTCCAAGCCAACCCTTTTTTAAAAGATGATTATTATTTCTGATTTATGAAGTCTAGTTTCTCCAGTTAAATTGTGAGGTTTTGAGTAAGTTGACAAGGGCAAATATAATTGGAATTTGAAAATTCTAGAGTGATTTGGCCTATGGGCCTAGATGCATCTTATCTTTTGGAACATGATAAAAGGAAATCAAGTCATACACGCCCATATCTTTTGTTCGCTTTCTATTTGTTGTATAAGCCATTTGGAGTAGGTTTTAAGGGACAGAGGGCAAAAAGAGTCCTTGAATCTTGTCAAGTCCCAAGTATCTGAATGGTCCTATACTATATAGTAGATATGGGCCAGACCCTTGAAAAAACATTTCCTAGTAGGATGAACCAAAAGTATATTTTTCTGATCTAAAAAACTACAAGTGAATAATATAATTTACCAAGCTCTAGAGCAAGGCCCAAAGTTTTCAACATTAGTAGATTGCCTACAATAATGGGAAGTGAGGAAGGAAGGTGGTCTGCATTCCTTTTTCTTTTCCATATGGTGAAACTACTTCTATTTTAGTGGTTGGGTGTAAAAGTAGCTATTTTGGGGGTGGATTGGTGTAGGTATTTTTTTTAATGAAAATTACTGAAATTGTGGGAAAGACAAAATTCTTGTGGATCAAGTTATTAATAAATGTTCTTATTATGTAAAATCAAAAGTACAATCCTGTCCTTAATCTCTTCTGGGATGTCAGGATTCAGCCAAAGACATTCTAGTTATGTAATAAAGATATATTTATTAATTAAGGATGATGATAAAACTCAGGACTAATCAAAATCCCAAGAAACGTCTTCTGTCACAGTTCTCATACAAAGATTTGAGCAAATTGCGTTCCCTTTAAGATTGAAATCATATCTTAAAGGGGTATTTTTTCTGAGTAAGCTGAAACAAGATCTAGTATAACATCAAAGCCAAAAGCTTAATCTTGTTTCCTAATCTGAATATTTGTCATTTTTTTTTAAATTTTGAGAGAATTTTTGTTCAGAAAATGGATTCTTTACTTTATAGATGATCCTTTCAGAAAGTGTTAATCCATGTAGTCAAAAAAGGAAACAAACAAAAAAGCCCAACTGTAAGTAAGTGGAAGGGATTTTACTAACCCCCGCTACTTGTTCTTAATTGTCTGCATGATATTCATCTCTTGTGGGAGTGCTTTATTTCAGTTTCTTAAAGAAACTGTTGAAGCTCTTAGTGGGTACGTCTACACAAGATGCTCCGTTGCCATAGCTTGTTGCTATGGCAACATAGCATCACCAGACATGAACCGTGATGGCGAGACTACCGCACAGTAGCAGTGAAAAATAACCATGCAGCGATGGGACCACTCGTTTAGATGTGCCCAGTATGTCTTGAATCCATGAACTGGTTTAGAGAGTTGAATTTTTAGAGAATGTTGAAAAAAATAGAGAACCTTAGGATCTTAGGAAAGTAGGGCTAGAAGGGACCCCACAAGGTCATCTAATCCAGCCACCTGCCCAAGGTAGGATCAGCCCTAACTAAACCACCGCAGTCAAGTGTCTGTCTAACCTGCTTTTGAAAGTTTCCAAGGATGGAGATTCCACAAGTTCTCTAGGTAGCCTGTTCTAATGTTTGACCACCTTCATAGTCAGAAAGTTCCTTCTAATCTCCAGCCTTGCTTCAGCTGGCATCTGTTACTCCTAGTTCTGTTCCCTACCTTTCAGGTATTTGAAGGCTGTTATGAAATCCCCCCTCAGTTTTCTCTTCTCCAGGCTAAATAACCCTAGTTCTTTCAGCCTTTCCTTATAAGCCTTGTATCCCAGGCCTGTAATCATTTTTGTTGCCCTGGGCTGGAATCTTTCCAAACCCTCCATGCCCATCTTGAAGTGTGGGGCCCGATCCAGATACAATACTCCAGGTGAGGCCTTTCCAGTATTGAGTAGAATACTGGTGTTGAATCTTATGTCCACATGAAATGACATCGTATCTGGCATTTTAGAGGAGAGGGGAGCGTATACTATATGGGCCTTTCCCCCAGAGAGGACAGATCTTCCCGCCCATGTGAGCTGGAATTTAATGGGCAATGATGCAGCTGGTGACAGAATGCAAGAGAGGTCTTGGACCAATAATTTGTACATGTGCAGCCCTTGAGTTTTGATTGAAACTACAATCTTTGAATGGGTAGAGAGGTATTTAGAGTGGAATGAGAAATAATGGGGTGGGATTTATTTCTGTTATATAATTGGGAATCTATTGATGATTATAAAGTGCTTTGGTATCCTGGAATAATTGGTGCAATATAAGTTAAACAATATTAAATATTATATTATAGTAAATAAACCTCCAATCTTTGGTTACTTCTGAGAAGCAAGTTTATGATGCCTCCTAGGGTATGTACAGATATTCAGGAAAGTTAGTGGGAGGTTAGACTGAGTTAAAAATGGCCACCCAATCTAAGGTAAGTCGGGAAGGGAGGGGATAGTGGTGCAGCTTGGAGAGGACTGGGGAGGGCAAGTGGGGTCTGCAAGAAAGGTTGAGGAGATTGGGGGCTAGTGGCATCTGTGGAGGGGTAGGTGAAATCCAGGAGGGTTTGGCAGGATTGGGAGGACTAGTAGGTTCTGTGGCGGGGAGGGCTTGGGAGTATTGAGGGGCTAGTGGGATCTGTGGGGGTTTTGGTGGATCTAGAAGGGCTTGCAGGGATTGAAGGGGGCAAGTAGAGTCTGCAGGGGGTTAGAGGGATTGGGGGTGGGCTAGCGAGACCCATGGGGGGTTGCTGGGGTCTGGGAGGGTTTGGTGGGATCAGAGGGGAGGGGCCTTGATGGGATTGGGGAGGCTCTCCAATCCTGCCAGAACCCCTCCAGTCTGCCTTGCCCCACCACCTTTCCACCTCACCCCAGTATCACTGAACTTCCCCTGATCCCACAAACTGCTCCTGGGGCTGGTTTTACCAGCATTCACTAGTCCTGGGAGTCCGATTAAAGTAAATCTGAGTGGGGGTAGGGGCAGGCAGATTGGGAGGCTGGCAGCTCTTTAGGGGGCTTTGGTGGGATGTGAGGACTCTCACTCTCTCCCCACACAGGACTAGGAACAATTTGTAGTCCCCTGACCCACCTCCCCCAGCAAATCAACTCCCCCCTCATCCTGCCCATCCCTCCCCACACCACAACTTACTTCCTCATCTCCTGGCACCAGTAAATGCTGGTAAAACTGGCAGCAGGAGTGGCTTGCAGGATGGGAGGTTTGGCAGGCTACTTGATCTGTGGGGAGGTTTGCCCATCTGCAAGTGCAGCAAGGAGCCAGGGAGGCTAAAAATAACCCGGTGCCAGGGGCAGGGCACTAGGAAAAGTGCAGCACTGGCTGGGGCCAGCAGCTGTGCTTTCCCAGCAGGGCTGCATGGAAACTATACAGAAGTTCAATTACTGAACCCAATTTAGATTAAACTACCTCCAAGGTACAGTTAACTTAGATTGGGTCAGCCATTTTTAGACCGATCAAACTTTCCTGAACTTCAATTCAGTTCACACTTAGATTGATCTAACCATGGATCCTAGTACAAGGTCTGCACCTGGGCAAACTAAGTTAGATTGGGTGGCCATTTTTAATGCAATATAACCTCCCCCTAACCTCCTTGAACATCTGTACCTATCCCTAGACAAACAAATATTTTCAATAACATTATTATCAAGAGTGTTTCTAATTGACAATATTAAGGGCCAGAAAAAAAACATTTTAATATGATGTGTTTTTTGTACACTGCACACAAATACTTACAAGAGTAGCTATAGTCTTCTTAGGCAGCAGTTCAGAAAGAAATAAACTTACACTAAAGGCATATTTTTTAATGTACAGGGGCAGTCCATTTTGATTTTCAAATAAATTGTTCTATAATGTACATAGTTATTTTAAAGCACATACATTAATTGGTAATTATACAGGGTAATAGCCTGACTGACTGCTGATGCTTTGTAATAAAAATGAATAGTCTGCATCATTCTTTTCAACTTTTCAGTTTCTGCCTTAATTTAAAGGCATGGTAGAATTTCCATCACTTTTTTCCTTTGATGCCTTAGAAATAATCTGTTACCTTTCCCTTTTTTTTTAAACAATGCTAAATTTGCTTATGACTTGCTATGTTAAACATGCACAAAAAAGACTCCTGCAGCTACACTGATAAATCACATCGCTCTGGGTTTTACTTTGTGACATTTTTTATTTGATTAAAATGAAGTCCTTCAGGATATGCCTGCAGCTTTCCTCACTGCAGAGTGAGAGAAAGGTAAGTGCAGGACCTTGTTGTGTGCAGGTGAGACTGCTGCAGGCTTAGTGAACAAAACAAAAAAACTGGAAGCATTCGATAAACTACTGGCTTCTTGATTAATGGCCTTTTTGGCACTCCATTCAGCTCTGCTGCAGGCTTTACATCTAGAAGTGGTTCCCGTCATTGGGAGAAACCAAGAGGTGAATCTGACAGCCATCATATTGCCCAAGAACCCTAATTTGACAGTCTTCTACTGGTGGATAGGAAACAATCTTCAGGTATGTGTAAGCTTTCATATGATATAATTTTCCAGCCTCTTTTCAATAAAGATTATATACAGACAATTATCCTTTCAGGAGAATTTTGTTGTAGTGGATATGACATTTTATAGAATACCTTTGTTTTAAACAGCCAGTTATACCTCTATTAAACATTACTTAACTCCATTAAGAAATCTTACACTCCTCTTCCTTCTTTCCAATTGTTGATGCTTATGTGAAAAAGGAAATTTCTCTGTTAGAATGGTCTACATCTCTAGGCCATTTATTTTAGAGGAGTTAGAATTTTATCACAATTCACCACATTTGGAGAAAAAGTTGTGATGGCCCTGTGGCATCGCCGCATCATCTCTCTTTGTGTGTAAGTGCCAGAAACAATGACAACCAGCAAGGAACTTGTCACCGTAAGAGACCTGGGCAAGGGAGAAATAGTTGAGACAAATTCAATATGTTTCTTTTTGCAATTACATCAATACTCCACTGTATTCCTGGCCTGCACCAGCCTATTAATCTATGCTTCGGCGATTCTTAAGTACACACTGGATAGTGGCCCTGCAGTGTGTAAAATATGAATTTAGCACCTGATTCTTTAAGAAAGAGAATGCCCCTGCATGCTTTTTAAGTGACTACAAGTCATGCATTAAAAGTAAAACTACAAAATACATTTGATTGTAGTTGATAACAATGTGTCTGAACCTCAGTGTTTAGGGGTATCAGCCCAATGCAGTGACAACGCAGCGAGGGCCTGACCCAGAGCCATGCATTTCAGTCAGCTTTGACTCAAATCCTAATACTCTTGTCTGGTATCTTAAAAGAAACATTTTTCCATTGTTTAAAAATGTAAGCCATAGCTCCATAACTCCAAGGATCCCTGTTAGTTGAACATTGCAATTCATGGATTTGTTGGACATTGAGCTGACGTTGATTAATTCATTCCATGGAAAATATTCAGTAGATTGGTTGCTCCTGACAAGACATTTCAATGACTGTTCTCTCTCTTTCTCTCTCACATGCTTCTCTGCTGATTCTTACCCAATTCTTCTGTTTTCTTTTGTATCATGTTCTTTTTTTGTTTAGCCGTTTCTTACTTTGGAGAGTTTTTTAATGACCAAATTTGCTGAGACAGGTGAGGTTAGAGTTACAGTGCAAGCCGCCTGTGGGAACTCCATGCTTCAAGATTCAAAGGTTGTCCAAGTTTTTGGTGAGATATTTTTACTTTCTTATGGATTTTTTTGTTTATTGATTATATTTCTATGTACTTTAGGACAGTCCTTGGAAAACAGAATACAGTAAAAGCTCTGTTATTTGGCATGAGTGGGGAATGGGGGGGTACCAGTAATCTAAAAATGCCGGTTACCTGAGGTGGAGGTTTTTGCCCGGACGTGGAGTAGGGGTAGCAGGGTGAGGGGGAGTGTGGTGGCTGCCACCACCATGTGTGAACTCCCCTCACCCCACCCCCGCATCTGGCCGGCCACCATGCCGGAAATTCTGGTTAGTAGAGTGTGCCGGTTACTAAAATGCCGGTTAGCACAGCTTTAACTGTATATTGTGAAATTTTACCTACTGGTGTGTTAAACTTCTAAACTTAGTGAACTAAAATTGTCCCTGATTCCATGGAAATGAACAGAGTGGCATTAAAGAAAGCGTTACAGAATACACTAAATTCCCTTAAATAATTTATTAAAGAAAGAAATCTTCATTTCTTCATTAAGAAACAATTACAGAATACACTAAATTGTTGTTCCAAACTTTAAAGGTAACTAAATATTATGAAGTGGCATTTTGGACCTTCCCTGTAGAATTTTATACAATTTTTAAAATATAATTGTTTGAATCCTTCTGTTGGTTTTATCCTGGAATGCATAATCTAAGACAGTGAGAGCCAACCTTTCTTGGCAGGCATGCAACATATTAGTGCCCCCTCAATATGCCATTCCCATCACTTTTCCTTATCTGATCTGCTGCTCAGCTTTCTCCTCCTTGCTCTGTGCTCCCTGCCCAGATCTCTTCTGCTTTCTGGTTCCCACAGTATGCTCGCTGCCTGATCTGATGCTGTGTTTTCTGCTCCCTGCCCTATCTTCCAGGCACTGTGCTGCCTGTCCCCTCCCACATCTGCCACGTCTCACAAAGAGGCTGCCTCTGCCACTTATGTCATCCATGCTGCAGGTTGGCTATCCATCATCCAAGGGAAAGAACATTTCAATGGAGTTTTTATCTACTCAGCCTAAACCAAACCAAACAAAAATATATTGTATATGTGCTTCTGAAACAGTTGAATGACCCTTTAGTTCTTGTATCCGAGTGTTTTGCTGTGACCTATAACATGCTTATGTGGCAGGATATTCTTTGAAACATGTAGGTAGGCAGATAAATTATTTATGCTTTTATAGGCATAGACAGTGACAATTTTCACCCGATCTGGCCACAGAAAGCAGTTTATAGCCATGACCAAACAGAAGTGCACAGCTGGAGACAGCTTAAAAAATGGCCATTTGGGTGAAAATCTGAACCCTCATTGCATGAGGGGTCAGATGAAGACGTTTCAAAACAGAGCATCTTTTATAACTTCTGTCTGCCTGCTTGCTAGCCTGTCACTATTTTCAGAACTGGGGGGGAAAGCAGAGGAAGTTCAGTCTGGGGGGTTTTGAGCCCCCACTGAAGGGTGGGGTGGGTGTATTGGAGCCTCCTCAGGTGCTGGGGGCTCCAATTCACCTACCCCACCCTCCAGTGGGGGCTCAAAAGCCCCCAGACTGAACTTCCTCTGCTTCTTTTCCCCCTCTCCCATTCTGAAAACTTTGCAGCCTCACAGGGAGGAGGGGCCATTGCTAGGGGCAACTGGTTACAGGCTGCAGCTAGCAACTCAGTTCCCCTCCCTCCTGGAACCAGCAGTGAACTTCTGTTTGGTCCAGGAGATCATTGCAACTTGGAATGCAACGTGGTCTCAGTTACAGTGGGGAGCTACACTTCTTGCTTTGCCCTATATGTGCAGTCAAATACAGGAAATGGAATAGCCTTTTTTTTAACTGTAGTTTGCACCAGTTTGCAAATATGGGGTTTTAAAAACCCTCATATATACTAGAGACCCACATACATCTCTAGTCCTAACATTTCAAGTGGACTCTATCATTTTGATTTTAGTGTGCTTTTATAATATAAAATAATGGCAAACACTAATTTTCAAGTTACAGTTCTTTTGCAAACCTCTTAACTTCTGCCCTATAATAAATGGATTTCATGAATGCTTGTAATATAAGTCTTTACAGAAAGCTTTAAAACTATAACCCTATTAGACTGGCTTGTAAGCATATCATGCCTCTGATTTTCTGCTACTGAATATACTGTTAGTATTGGCAAAGCCAGTGTGAAAGACTAAAACGGTATTGGTGGTGAAGGAAATAACAAAATACTTAGGAAAAATGTGATTTTGTCTAAGTTGCTGTAGAGGTCAAGTTTTAATCTTTCATACATTCCAAAGGATCTTGTTCTCTCCTTTGCATTAACTTTTTCAGGTGTTCTTCCAAAGATTATATGAGGACAAAGGCAAAAATATATACAGTCCTCTTAAACAAGGAATTGTCCATTTCTAAAATTTCAGATATTTTGGGTTATATCAATAGAAATGTTGTGAATGTATCATATTTCTTCTTTTAAACAGAGCAGTGGTTAGCTTTTGGCATGTCATTTGTGTTCTCATTTTCATAGGTAGATTATTGAAACAAAAACATTCATTTTCTGTGAATAAAGGGAATATGCAGTGGGCAAAAACTATATGTTTGTAATTCAGTGGGCGCATCTACATGTACTATTAATTTGAAGTAGACTTACTGGCCACATCTACATGAGACACTGACTGCATGGTATCCCGAGACTACTGCACAGAAGTATAATGTGTCAGCAACAGTGACACAACGCTACTGCACAATGGTATTGGGCTGCTGCACAGTAGCATCACAAAAAAGCTGTGCATTGGTGCTGCTGCACAGTCAGCATCTCATATAAACACAGCCTTTATGTAGTAAAAATACTGTGCAGTAAGCCTACGGGGGAGCGCATCTACCGGGAAGTACATCTACATATAGATTTGCTCCCTCCCTGCTCTGCCCCCTGTAGCAGCCAGGGGGAGCTCCAGGCTCCCCTTGGGGGCTGGCTGGGGGCATGGGGACAGGAGAGCTCTGCCAGCTGCAGCACCAGCTGTCTCCTGGCCCCATACATGTTGGGAGAGGTCCTGATGAGCATGGGCCAGGAGACAGCTGCTGCATGCACATAGGGAAAAGCCCTATGCTAGTGGGTCTTCCACACACAGCCTGGAGCTTGCCAGACCTGGCCCAGAACACGACTGTTTCCAGCCAGCCCCAGGCTGTGCAGGGAAGTCTACAAGTGTAGTCTGGCTCCCCAGAGACCTGCCCCAAAATAGGGCAATTCCCAGCCAGCTCTGGGCTGCATGTGCAGACTTCCATGCAGAGTATGGACCTGGCCAGGAACTGTCCTGTTCTGGGGCAAGTCCCAGCCAGTTCTGGGCTGGGCGAAGAACTCTTCTTATGCAGGGAGCTCCTGGTCCCAGCTCCACAATCAGAGGGGGGCCTGGGACATTGTTCCTTGTCCCTGGGAGCTGCCTGCTATCTGCTGGGCCCTGATCAGTAAGGTTTTAAGGGAACCTTACTGAGGCACAGGGACAAACCATCCTGATGTGCAAGAAGAATAGCAAATGTGGCAAACACCCAGCTTGGCTTAGCAGAGAACTCTTCCGTAAGTTTAAATACAAAAAGGAAGCTTACAAGAAGTGGAAGCTTGGGCAAACCTGAATCTGCAAGTAGCAAATTAGCCACACAGTTGACTAATTTACTGCGCAGTAAGCATCTGCACATGTAGACGGCGGCACTTTGCTGTGCAGTCAATTAGTCTGTTGCGCAGTAAACCATCTTGTGTAGACACCCCTTGAGAATTAAATTCATTGGCACAGGTCCACTGAAAGCAAAACACTGTGGTATGTCTGGCAATGTATGCCCAGTGGAGCATACTAATGTGTTTTCTTTATTTTTCCTTTTGCTTTTCCTCAGCGTTTAGAAACATTTAGACATAGAATGGCATAGTGATGGAAGAAATACAGAAGGAGGTTGCTAAAGGAAGCAACTGGTGCTAGTATATTAAATATTGTACATTCCTTAAAATAGGAGCTGCCATTTTGGTCTAGATGCATCCAGCACTTAGCACAGTGGAAATTCTAAGTATGCATACAGCACAAATAATAAAATAATGCTGAGATCACTCTTTTTAATGTTACTTTTACTGCAAAAGCAGTTTTTTCAGTCCTATTTATTAATTGTTAAAAACAATCTTTCTTTCCTGTTTCTAGATCATTTTCATGTTCTTTCTCTAAAGTTTACTAAACATCTGGACATGTACAACCCCAACATACCGGAGTGGAGGGAAGACATAGGTCGGGTAGTGACACGACTTCTTGCAAAGGTGCTTTCTTAGATTGCTTACATACTGCGGCCTCTCCAGTCAGAAAGCTTGAAGGTTAAGTTAATGCCTTTCCATTTAGAAAAAAAGCAAACAACCCAGCGAGCAGAGGAGAACAATAAACAGAAACCCCAGGGCGACATTTAGAAGCAGTTTGAGACTAGAGTCACTTGTGTATCCAGACCACATAAAACAATATATCAGCATTGCAAGTTTGATTCTAATATATCCTAATTGGCAATTAATGATCTCCGGGTTTGGGGGGCCATATGGACAGATAAGTAAATACTGCTGATTTTGTGAGAAGAACACTTAGCTTGAATGGGATGGAGTTAGGGGTTAAACCAAGGGTACTATAATATACAGGATTTAGCCTTTGATTATGTACAACTAAATGAATTTATAGTCTCATGTATTTAACTTGGATCACAGATACAAATAGGCTGTAAATTTGAACATGGACATATCCTCTAAATTCTCTAAGTCAAACATTTACTTAAGTAACTGCATTGTATAATGAGTAAGGGCATGTGTAGATTAAACGGGGGCCCTAAACTGTGGTGGGTTTTAAAAAACCCCGCTACAATTTAGAGCTGATTAAACTCCCATGTCATGCACACACCCCACTGACTTACCTGCCTCTCCAGCAGGGAGGGCAGGGCAAACTGCTGGTGGGCAAAGTGGTCCCTGGGCTGTGTGTGTGTGGGGGGGTTACCTCCGTGGCAGTGGCACCCGCCAGCAGGCACCTGGCCTGGGCAGTCCTGGGGGCCACCGCAGCTGCAGAGGGAAGCACTGGGCCCCACACAACTCAGGCAGGCAGGCTCTGGGGCTGGGGGGGGCGGAGATCAGGTATGCTGCTTTTCTTGGGTGGAGCCTGCTTTCCCGGGCTGCTGCCAGGCTGCCTGCAGGGCTTCCTACAGAGCCCCTGAGTTGCACGGATCCCGGTGCTTCGCTCCACAGCTGTAGAGGCAGCAAACTAAAATTCCTCTAAGGAGCTGCTGCACCCCAAGTCATTTAAGGTGCATTATGCTGCTGAGTTTTCTACAGCAGCTGGAATTAATGCCCAACATGCCACTGAGGCATGCAAACACCAACACCATTAAAGCATTTAGCCTGCTTTAAAGTGTCATGCACACACGCCCCTCATTTCGTCTACACACAGCCTAAAGCATCATTCCATAGAGACAGGGAGTACTAGATTATACTGTTATATTGTTTAGGCACAAGCACTGCTGAAGATATAATAAACAGATATTGATTGAGCTGAACACCAATAGATTCTAACCTGAGAGGTAAATACTTATAGAATATTTATCACTAAGATAACAAAACGCCTTATTGCCTAAACCTTCCAGTGATGTCATTGGTTTTACTCTGGATTTGCACCAGTGTAAATGAGGTTGGGATAATTTTATTTTTATATATTAAATACACTTCTGTTTCATCCTTGGTTAGACCTCCCTAAATGCCAAACCTATTGAAATTCCTCTCCAGGTTATACTTTCCATGACCAACATTTTCTAGACAGGTTTCTTACGTTCTAGTCATGTTGGCACCACATTTTAACTTTTAAAAAATACGATACAAGCACATTTATTTACATTCAGATAGAATTTCCATGAGTGTTTGACCTGGGAACTCGGAGAATTCCCCAGTACTTTTAAATAAAACCTATTAGAAGGTAGCCAGAATGGCACCTTGAGGCTAACTGGCTCAGAGGTGCATGAGCTTTTGTAGGCAACTGACTTCTTCATTAGATGCTATGAATGGACCTTCTTAAATGGAAATCTTGTGAAGCCTTCAGCTAATGGAGTAACATTTACAAAAGTCTCAATTTCAGAAACAGCATAAACAGTTAGGGACCTAAAACCCATTTGACTTTTGAAATTTTTCATCCTGAAAAGTTACATGCTCATTGTAGTGTTCTGATAAAACTGTCATCCATTGAGGCTTCTCTCATGCCATAATGCCATTAGGTTTCTTTGTTGGGATGATAATACTTAGCATTTCTCATCTTCAAGGCTCTTAGCACCTTGATTAATTAATATAGGGCAGTATGCAACTTCCAATTAGTTCCAATTAGTTATGTGGAATCCTAGCTACACTTCAAAGATGTGAACACTAAAGCCCAGTTTGAAAAGACCTATGAAGAAGTAGCTATCTATTTTATACCATGTTTGTATACAGTAGTTTTACAGTAATATTGATAGGATAAAGTTAGCATAGAGCCCATATTTATTCGTGTTTTTGTCTCTGCAGGAAACCAATATACCAGAAGAAAGTCTTGTAACTGTGGTGAAACCTGGCCTGCCCACAACTGCTGACTTGCATGTGCTTCTACCAGCAAACCAACCAAAGCGGAAGAGAAGTGTAACTAGTGATAAGGTAACCAGAACAATATGTGTTTGTGTAAATCTCCATCCCACTGAAGTCAATGGCAATACTCCATTTGGCTTCACTGAGATCTGGATTTGCTTTTTAAGCATCCAAGCACCATCCACTCCACTACTTTCATGAGCCACATAAAAGGCTAGCAATGATTGCAGCCCCTGTGGTTGGTGGAGTACAGTACCCTCCACCATATACTTCCCTGTATACCTGGGAATGGAGTCTGTGCTAAAGGGAATAGGGAGAGAACAGCTACACCTTACACTTGGTGCTAGCCCACGATGTACTGGAATGGAGTGGAGAGTATGCTGTAGTCTCTTAATTTCTCTACAAGCCCTTTCAGGGACAGAGCAACTTTATACCATCCTGCCCTCTGGGCTATGTGCCATTTGCACAATCCATCTGTTATTGGTACCAGCAAGGGATAGTTAATATTTATCTATTTTTAATCAGAAACCACAATTATAACATGCTGAATTGTAAAGATTCAGGAGATAAAAGTCCTCTAACCCAGAGTAGTAATCACTGTGGGAATGCCATATTTAAAATATGAAGGAGAAGAATAATTTTTACTGTATTCAGAAACATGCAGATCTGAATGCAATATGACCTTAAGGTTTGAACTGTTATGTGAGGTGCATCATAGTGCTATCCCACAAGTTGTTTCTGTTCTAATGAACAGAGAGCTTTTTCAAGTTCTGAGGCAACAGGGCGAGTGCAGCTAGCTGAGGCTCAGTGCTGAGCATTACTGCTCACATCAAGTAAAATCCCTTGAGTCAGAAAGGACCCCTAGAAGAGCACTGTATCTCCGCATGACTTTGCCTCTAATTTATAATGTATGACACTAGGCCCTTTTTTCTATAACATAAAAAATGTCTCAGGTGTGTACCAGTTTCTTGAGTTTCAAGAATTATTATGTTAAAAAGATCATTATTCAAGGAATTATTCATTTTGAATAGGAAACGTTGCCAAAAGGAAGGCTGTGATAGGTCCTGGTATTCACCTAGACAATGTGATCCATGGATAAGTAGGACAAAGCTCTATAGGTAGCATGGTATTTTGCTATTGTGTCAAGTAAGGTTGGGTATTTGACCACTCCAAAAATACTCGGTCAATGGACTGATTAAGTATTGCTAAATAATGATAAAGTATTTTAAGCATTAATTTATTTGAACAATATCAAGAGATACTTTAATCTTCAGTAGTACTTATGCTTTTTACAAAGAATACTTGTTCTTATGAAACAATGAAATTAAATATAATGAATTTTTATAACTATTAATGTGTGGTAAATGTAAATGTCAATGATATTCAAGGCTAAACAGTTTTTCGTTTCCTTTCGTTTTATTCTGAAGACCACAGTCAGCTTGAACAGTTACAAAATAAAACCCCCCATGATATTAAACAAAAATGAAACACTTATAACGACTATAAAAGACAAAATAATTTTTTTAAATGAAGGCATGCTAAGTAGTCAGCCAGCCAACTCGTCAAGCATTTTGGAGATGCCTGCAGTCACAGAGGATGCCCAGTAGGACAAACTTTTTTCTTAGCTGCCAAATTTGGGTCTTACCTGAGCTCAGAGTACCTCCTGGAGCCCCATGTAGTGTAAGGAGACTGGGAGAACTCAGTAGAGAAGAGCAAGGCAGGGGGTGCCAGCTCCTAAATGGAGTATGACTCCTGAAGGACTGAGGGCAGGGAGCGCTCACTCCTGCCCTGCTTACAGATGATACTGTGATGCAATGGAAAAGGTAGGCCTCTTGCTATATGAGAGATTTTTTGGCTTGATGGAATATATAACAATTTTGGTAGGCAGTCAAGTCATTTGGCATTATTTGACCAGTCAGTTGTCCTGCATCCCAACCCTAGTGCCAGAGTACCTGAGGAGCTGATTTTAAACATATCTCTGAAATATATAAGGAAATTGGATAAGAGTATTATTGAGGGACTGGTCCTGATGTAAAAACCAACCAAACAACAAACTCCCCAACCTTAGCCTTCCCTTGTAATCATAGTGAATTTCATAGTCAAGATTGAAGTCATAGTTGATTTGCAGAAATTCTTTTATTTTAAGAAGTACTTTCTATGAGCTCTTTGTGAACAATTGTTAGCTACATCATCACCTTAAAACTCTTAACGTTTTTATTCTTTTAAAGAAAATAATGCTATTTTAAAAAGAAATATTATCTTACTGTTCCAAGCTTGTAGCAAATGAACCTCTTTAATAATTTAAAGTAACCAATAAAGACAGGCCCTTAGGTTCTGCTGACTTTTTTTTAATACAAAAGATTATGTAGATTAGTTCCCTTCAAATCTCAACTATTATTAATGGCATGCTTCCAGGCAGCTTGAAAAATATCATAAATTACATTCAGTGCTGCCTTAGTTTTTTCATGTTCATATCTGAACCACCCTTCTAAGTACTCCAAGAAGGAAAAAATGAAGGGCTATCCTGTCCTGCTAATAATTGTGGGATGTTCCAAACACTTGGAAGGTATAGAAAAAATAGCTGTGTTAATAGAATATAATTTCTGTGATGAATATCCACAGCTAAAATGCCACTTATGGTTTCTGGAGCTGAAAGAAGACCAGAATTATGCCAAATCAGGTTGAAAAGGACAGATGTGGAAGTAGCTACACATTTTGTAAAGTAGTTGTACATTGCTGACAGTGTGATGTTATTGTGCAGATTAGCTGTGTTTGGATGCATTGGGCATACTGAGAATAGTAGCAGACATAATCTCTTAGACCGCTAACAGTGGTTGCATCTAAATGTGCTAAGGCAACAAAATAAACTCCAGCACAGTTTGCACTGGAGTCAGCTACTCAATATCTACATGGGTGCCCGGGACCACAACACTTTGAGCCAGGGTGGAGTAGCCCCAGGCTGGGAAGGGACCTGGGGGGTCAACCCCAGGCTCTTTGTGGCATCAGTGTGTGGTAGAGGGGCTGACTGAGGCATGTGGGTGCTGAAGTGTGGGACTAGGTGGCGAGCAGCCCCTGCACTTTAGCACCCTCATGCCCCAGCCAGCCCATCACCGTCTACACATGCATTTCAACATACAAAATTACTCCTCCATAGGATAGTACTGTCCCCAGCAGTACTATCCTACAGCAGGGTTAATTAATTTACTGTACCCTAATACCCGTGCACATGTAAGCTGTGATGCCTTACTGTGGAATTAATTAGTCAACTCTGCAGTAAAGTGCATGTATAGTTGCACCCAGTTAGAAGAAGTATACTATGCAATTTCTCCATCATAGCAGTCCAGCTGTTTTCAGGTGTATAAGGCTATATGGTTGTGGTCATAGCCAGAGTAGAGTTTTCACTCCAGCCATTGGTTCTGTCAGGTTACGTCTCCATCTTTGTGCTGTATAGACTATTTAAATGATTGGTATGTGCATGCGTATTTGTGTAGATTTTTTTTTAAATTAAGATCTCGCAAAGTTTGATAAAATCTAGAATGCATATGTAATTTGAGACTTACTAGTAAAACCAGTAAATTGGAGGTCAGATATAGGCTCCTTGAATGGAAAAAGAGAGGCTGCATTCTCTCTTACTATACATGGCTCAACTTTACAAAGTGCTAAATGCAGATAATCTTAGATTTGTGGAGTAGTATCTCACACCTCAGGTGGATATATTAACCCTTGGTGGAATAAAGTATTACACAATATAAGGGTTTAATAAACCTTAGTGATTTTCCTGAAGACTCTCCCAGAAAATTCCAGTTTTTAAAATCTTTTTTTATCCAACTGATTGGCATGAACAACTAGGGATTCCACTACTCTGTCCAAAGTCTGCTATGAGGAATAGCTATGACAAGCGTATTGGCATCAACAACAATTAATTACACCATCACAACTGAAATAGTTTCAAGATTCATGAAGTATAATACCAGAAAGTAGCCTTAAAACAGATGGTCTGACCTGCTGCATGTGTATTACAGGCCACTGAGTTTTATTTTTATATCAATGCCTTTCTGTTAGATTTGCAAACATAGGTATGTTCTCCCTATAATCAAGTCACCTCTAAATCTTTTTTTATAAACTAAATGAACTGAGTCCATCATTATAAAACTTATCATCTCCCAACTCCTACTTATTACAGCCTCTCTCTGCAAGCTCACGTTGAGTTACTGGTCCTCTGTAACCCCTACATTCTTTTCAGAGTTACTGATGTCCATTCTGTAGCTATGGCCTGCATGCCTTGTTCTCAGGTGTGTAACTTTGCATTTGATTGTGCTAAAGCTTGTTTTGTTTGCATGAGCCAAGCTTAACAACTACAGCATCCCACCCTACATGACATATGGTTTGTTTTTTTGCTTTCTTTTGCTTCAATACAGGTAATTCTAAAGAATTGCAAGACTAGTTTTATAGAGTCCATTCTATAATTTAGGATACCATTTCCCACAGGATGCCAAATTAGAAGCATGTCTTTATAACTATGAAAACCCAAGTGAGAGTCTTTTATAAGGTTATTAATTATTACATGCAGCTCTGGCAGTCCCTTACAATTTAAAGGTTATATAGGTGTGCAGTTTGATGGCACCTTCAATGTTGTTCCTCTATAGCATTGTGAGAGACCATATATTAGAATGCTATGCCCACATTAGAAAAAAAGGAGAAATCGTGACCATTTTTGTGTGGAAATTACTGTTTCTACAAAATCTTTGTAAAAACAAGATACAAATAGGCATCTATCCTGTTAGAACTAAGCAAGAGAAGCAAATCATGAGATGCAATTTATTATCAAGCACATTATTTCTTATAGGTAAGAAATATAAAGTGACAGAGAGCGTGTCTTTTGATATGATGATCAGAGTAAGGATACTGGAAAGAGTTTTTAAAAAGGTTTATTCATTGCACAAGGTATGATTCAATAATAATCCAATAATACCTGTAAATGAGATGGTTTTTATCAAATATTGTGGGATAAAGACAAGGTCTATAAGGAGAAAGAAAGATTTGGCTATAAACATTTGCCATTTTTGAACATTCATGGGTTGCAGAGATTTGAGAGATTTTTTTTTTTAAATCTGGAATTTCCTGAAGGTTATGTGCAACTCATAAAAACGGTTGACATATGTCCTGTGCGTTTCTCACAATACCATGAACTGAGAGGCTTTTTTGTTTAGTGCATTGAATTCCTAAAGGTTGAACTGAGTGAAAGATGCTTGACATTATCTTTTTTGTGTTTTCAGAGAATAGCTGCTATAAAACAAGCCTTGAATGCACACAACATCAGTTTCTTCCTGAGAGGGGGATATTGGGTCTTAGTGACTTTAGATGACTCCGATGCAGGTAAAAAATTAACAGACAAAACACCAAAACAATTCAGTCTGTAGATAGTTGTTAGATTTCTATAGAACTAAGTAGAAACTCTCCTGAGAAATAATAGCTTTTTCCTGGTATACACTAATGTAAATGATACTATCCATTATGTTTTCGTTGTTTTATTCTTTTGGATACCCTGTGAGAAGATTGAAAGTATTTTCCCTTATTGCTTTCATTCTTTTCATTATACGCCAGATTTTGACAGATAATCAAAAATTGGCCAACTACATATGGTTATGCACAGTTTGGACTCTCAGATATCTGAGTTCCTGGCTGCATTTAAGTCTACAAAAACAGAGATCTAATTAGGAACAGACTGAAAAGTATCTTGCAATTGTGTGCGGATTTGATTTCTGAACACAAGGCTAAAAGGAGCCGCCTGGGCCATCAAATCCAGTCCTCCGTGTTTGTAGGAAATTATTTAACCAATCTCAAAATCCCCACTTCAAATCCTAACACACAACTACAAGGCACAATGAAATCACATGAACACATATCACATGCCCATAGGCAAGCACAGAAGTGACACTAGCACTGCCAATGCACTGCCACTGCCATCCTAATGACAGGGAAATAGTGCCCTGTCTAATGCTACAGAGGAAGACAACCATCTCCTGTGGTCTGTGCCAGTCTGATCTAGGGGAAAACAGTTTTTTTTTTCTCTAAGCACTTTTTTTTCCTAAAAACCAGCAGAAGCCCTGTAACATGAGATTACCAGACACCTACCACGCTGAGTTTTTTCTGTATTCCAAAATGGAGACTGAAAATATACAGTTCCACGTAACGCATATACACGGACTGCTTATCCAGAGCGCGGTGATAAGATTCTGTCATATCATCCCTTCCATAAATGTATTCAGTTCAGTCTTACAGGAATTCAGGTTCTTTGCCCCACTACTTGACTCAGAAGGCCATTCCCAAACTTTGTTTCTTTGATAATTAGAAATCTTCTGATTTCTAGTTCAAGTATATCTAAAGCTGGTTTGTAGGCATTTGACCTTGGTTTTCAATGTAGAAAGCTCTTTTCCCTCCCAGCTTGTAAAGATTGTACTTGTAAAGATTCATCATATACTCTCTCAATCTCGTTCACTAAGCTAAACAAGACAGACTAATTAAAACTTCATTCAGAGGAAAAGGTCTCTGTTCCCTTAGCTATCTTTGAACCAGTTTCAGTTTCAGTCCATATTTTTTTAATGTTAGGCAGGAGGCAAGGTAGTGGTATACCATGCAGACTAACTGAATCAGATGTGTAAGCATTCATGAAAAGTGAACTGTGGCTCATGAAAGCCTATACAATCTGATTCAGTTAGTCTATAAGGTACACCACTGCCTGGCCTTCTGCCTGACTTCAGACTAACATGGCTAACTGTCTCTCTCTCTCTCTCTCTTTTTTGGTGACCAGAATTGCACATGGTATTCTAACTGTCGTTTTTCCAATGCCTGGTACAATAATACTAGTACCTACTAGAAGGAAATATCCATTCAATGTACACATTTTAAATATGAAGGGCAGCTCCAACTCAAGCTGTTTCTTACCATGTCAAAGCATCTTTGTTTTTGCATGAATATCATTCTCCATGATGTCTATTTGGCTTGTTACTCAATGATACCAAGCCGGCAGACAGAGCATGGTGCATTGTGCAACATTAACACTTCCATAAAGAGTGATTTAAATTATATTTCCAAATTAAATCTCAGAGAAGAAATAATACTTATGCTCTCCATATCCTGGCCTCTGTCACTGTAATATGTAGTATGAAACTTGTTATAGAAATCGTTTGCTTCGAAAGCCAATGTTTCATGTTGGCAAAAGCAGGGTATGAGAACTGAGAACAGGTTCCATTCCAGTCACTGCCCTGTGTGATATTGAGAAAACGATTAATCTTTTTGTGCATCCATCAGTTTCCTCATCTTTAAAATGTACATGTAGTATTTATATATCATATAAAAATGGCAACATGAATGTCGATTGAATAATGCCTACAGTACCTTTTGAGGTTCTTGAAAAATCATCACTCAGAGTAATATTGTTATTTCATTGAAATGCATTTTCTGTGCTTCCATGGATCTGCCAACTAGCTGATATATGTTGCTGCTTCTTTGAAGGACCTACATTTGGAATGAAGAGAAGAAGCTATAAAAGAAAAATCTAGTGATTTTGACTTAAGAGTTTCAATAGGGAAGCAAATTCAGGGTGCTAATTAGTTGCGAACCAGATTTACTAAGCTTTTCCACTATATATTTCTCGTTTCAGATTCTCAGAGGATTGGAGGAGGTGGTGGATACTGGGCTATCGTAGTTCTCTTTGTTATCTGTCTCGTTGTAGTTGGTGCTTTCATCCTGTACAAATTTAAAAGGCAAGTACACCTGACTTTAGAGTACATACATTTTAAGAACTAGATTTGTCAACATTTCAACCAAACTGCATCTAATTGCTTGAAAAGGCAACCTTTTTGAGGCCATGTCCTGACAAAGTCTCCAAGGTTCAAAGCCCATGGTTTTCTGGGCTTTTTAGACATCAAGGTTAAATATTGATGTTTGGCTCTTGGTGCTGTGTTTGAAGATAAATAGGAAGAGTTTGCCTCAGTACAACCACCAAGGAAGATAATTATGCTAAAATATGTTTCTAATTACAAACTCCTAAACCTGATGAGTTACCTGGGCAACCCGGACAATTAATTGATCCACAGTTCAATTTATTACAAATCATAAATACTCTGTGCAGTGTCTCTTTACACATTAGTGTGCGGGCCGGGAGCGACTCGAGCCCTTTTCCATGCTGCACGCGGGCTGTGGCCAGCAACCCGGGCACGCTGGGTCGGAGAGGGAAGGCCGTCGAGCTGGAATTAGGCACAAACGCTTAGCGGTAGTTTAAAACATTGTTTACTTACACCAAGATGGCAGTGGTGTAGGCTGGAAAACTTGCTTGAGTTGCGGTTACAGACAGACAACACAGACGGTCTCGTGGAGGTTGCTAGGCTCCACGGAACAGAGCTCCAGATGCTCTGGGTGAACGAGCCACCAAAATCAGAATCGTAGGTACGTCTTATAAAAGTCGCGCTCGAAGACGGGAAGAGGTGGGCGGTGGATCAGGCCGCCAAGCTCCTCTGGATCTCACACAGGGTTTCCATTACCCTGCCGTGTTCCCAGAGTCCCCACGAGATGGATGTGGAGTCCTCTTCGGCTTGGGCGGAAACCGCTCAAGCCTCTTATACGGCTAACAAGCCAATCGTTAGCCGC